ATTCTCGGCCCCAAGGCCTCCTGCATTTCCTTCAAGGATTCTGCTTGCCGATGCTTCGGATTCATGATTTCCAAGAAGAAGTATATCTACACCATTGATGATGACTGTTTTGTAAGTTCACTACCCCCATTTCTCCATATGTGTATGTTTCTGTGTGTGAGTTGACTCGGTGGTGAGTTTGGGTGGATCTGGATTTGGAAAGTCAACATGCCATTAGAATAGAATGTGCTAGGAGGAAATCTTTGTTAGGGAGAGTTTAGGATACAGTACTTTTCGGTTCAACGAAAGATGGTGCATCATGATCGCAAGATCTTGACACGTAGACTTCAAATTGTATATGATTGAAAAGGACCCACCGTCAATTGGGAGCTTCATAATTTCGGCCCCACCAGACAACAATTTCTATTCAAATGAAAAACAGATCTGTTGATTTTTTTGTCCAATGGGGACAATTAGATTTTGAACTAGATAATTGGGAAAAATTTGGAGCGGAGGTCCCCAATTTTTGACTTTTATTGAAATTACGTGTTCAACTTTCGTCCTTGATATTTTGGTACTAGTTCTTTATCTTTTGTAGCACTTTAGTCCTTGTAAACCTTTCGGTTAACGTGACTATTTAATAGAGTTGGATTTGTGTAGAGCAATTAGCAGTTGGGGCAGGGGACGGAAGCTTATGGTCGAGGCATCTAGGCATATCCTCGACTGGATATGGTCCACGATATTTTTTGGGGTTGAACATAACGACATCAGTTCACTTTACGTTTTTAGTAAAAATAGACTAGCATATTATCTTTGATCATTTGTAATTGAAAATTGGAAAAATTCAAATGAGTGGGGTACCACTTGATTTTTCTTGACTAGCGTTAATGAATATGGATGATCAATTTAGGTGTATTTAATGGAACGACTCTTAGATTTTTGATAGAGATTTATATAGAAAATTGATTTTTAAGAGAAACGTTGGAATTTAGTGGCTTTGTTCGCCCTAGAGTGAAGGACTAATTTCCCGTCTTTAACCAAGAGTTAGTATCTCTGTTACATCAAACTATAGTGTTGACCTTGATATGTGTACCACCGCCTTGTTTGAAAAGATTCTATTGACCATTAAGGTTGGTTGTTCAGGTTACCATTTCACTTAGAACATAGTTATTATCTAGGTTATGATTACCTGTCATCTAGATAATGATTACTTTTTTCTAATTGGTAGAGTAAAAGGAGTTGACAATCGGAGGTGACACTTGTATGATCGTGATCGTTTGTATAAGAGGTGATGACGTCATTAATGGAACACCTCTTTACAGAGTAATGATGATGTTCCCAAATGATGGTGGGGCCGAGGTGAATTTTTTAGTTTGGTCACCAACAACTAGCTTTTTCCAATTGGTTCAAACTGCTTTCAATAACTAGTGTAGTTCATCTACCGTAGAATAGACAAGTCATAAGATAATTCATCATATTTATAAGTATAATTTGAAGCCATTAAAGAAATTTTATGTCAGAATAGACTATCCAAACAGTTACTCTTCATTTTCATTTGTTCCATTTGCACTACAAAGAAAAAAAAAATGTTTTTGACTTTGAAGGAAATATCATATTACTGAAGTGGTTAGTGACAATAATAGTTACCTGAAAAAGTATGTTAGTTGAGCAAATGTGATAAGAACAATATGCCTTCCCCGGACTTACTAAACCACCAATGAGGGCAAGAGAAAGAGCTTTTTACGAGAAGAAAGAAAAGATAATCATGAAAGTCAGCCTAGCCTAGCCGAGAGAGAGAGTGTTGGACACCTCACGGATTTCTATCACATCCCTAGGGTTCGAACACACGACCTCTTCTTAAGAGAGACTTAAGTTAAATCCAGGTACCAATGATGAACAACTCATATATTCGATCATATATCTTATTATATTAGTTGTGTGGAGTTTAGGGCATCAAACATCTCGTATGTTACTCTTCCTACAATGATCATTCTTTCGTGTCTTCATTGTAATTTTGGTATGATTTATTTAGAGCAATAGTTTTCTTACTCTTGGCATTGCGAAATTCTGAAATGAAAATAGGTGGCTAAGGATCCAACTGGGAAAGATATCAATGCATTGCAACAGCACATACACAACCTGTTAACACCATCAACGCCCTTCTTCTTCAACACATTGTATGATCCATATAGAGAAGGGGCTGACTTTGTTCGTGGCTATCCATTTAGCATGAGGGAAGGAGTGCCAACTGCCATCTCTCATGGGCTCTGGCTCAATATCCCCGACTATGATGCCCCAACTCAGCTTGTCAAACCTCGCGAGCGCAACACCAGGTTAGTTTCTCAACCCGACAACAAACAGTGTTTCTTGTACTTATCGTTCATTCTTGTAAACGCTTAGTTTAGCTCGTGAGCGAATTGATTATTTTTGTCTTTTACCTAAATTCTTACTCAATGTGTATACTAAACACAGGTATGTAGATGCTGTTATGACCATCCCCAAACGCACCATCTTTCCTATGTGTGGGATGAACCTCGGATTCGAC